ATTTGATGAAATAATAAATGATGGTAGCAACAATAATAATAATAATAATAATAATCACAATACCAAACTAGGATTGTGAAACGAGACTTGTCCAACATCCATCTCACCAGTTTTCTTCAAATTTTTCCATGGTGTATACACGACTACAACATTGGGCCTTTTCACACCTATCAAGTCATCCATCAACATGATCAATTAACAAAAAAAAAATAAGAATGTTTCATAATTTTCAGATTCCAAAAATTAAATATGTTACCTTCGATACTATTTGCTTTCACCAATTGTCCCAAGTCGTTTAAAAGTTTCTGAGGAATAGTGTCCCATGTTTGATCTGGTTTTAACCGTAAATACACGTGTGCACTCGACAATTTGTCTACATGAAACTACACGTACGAGTTGTTGGTGGTGGCGTCGTTGTTGTTGAATTAATCAATGAAATAAGTTTTCGATTCATTTTTCATTGGCTTATTATTTTGACATTAGAGCATTGACAAAAATTAAAACATTCGCATATTATTAAACAACGTACCCTTTGGAAATTCAAAAATCAGAAAAATGAAATAATCGAATCATCAAATATTTTCACAAGGTTTCTTAGAATGTAACACTTACCAGACGTCTTGCTCCCACCCGTGTTTGATTAGTTCCTCATCTTATCATGTAAAAATTGATAATTTGATTATTTAAATAGAGAAAGGATTCTTTAATATCATTCAAATGTGGAATACAAATGGTCAAGAAAAAAAGAAACCAACTTTCATATTTATCTTTTCCCATATATATCAATGCAGGTGGGTCCACGACTATTAATAACACGAAGCTTATATCATTATCTCGTGTCCATGCGAAATAAACCGCAGAAAAGCAAAGTGAAATATACCATCACTTGTAAAATAAAACACCATTTCTCTTTAAGAAATAATTTAATAATGATCAACACGAACTTGCATTCTACTCTCCTGATCGAGTTACAATACGCCACAGTCTTATGACTCACAATTACTTGGATATGATCAAAGGGGTGATTTTAACGATTAACCAATTAAATATCATAAGAACATTCAGAATTTCATCGTGTGACATTTTTCCGTAAATCGCCGAACTATTGCTATGGGGTTTCCCGGTTTTCCCTTTCCTAATTAAATTACTGCAAACATTAACGTTTGAACGACGATGAGTCAAGAAAAGGTGGAACGAGTCTTGGCTATGCATATGTTTCTCGTCTAATTGGATAAATTACCAAAACCAGATCCATCTTTCATGAGTTATTTATTGTGGTATGATCCTTTGAGGTGTTCGTGGTTTGAGATCAAAGCGAAGAAATCATACGAGAATAGTTTAACGGAGTTTAAATTTTTTACTAGTATAACGAAAATAACAATGAAAGAGAGATTCGATATCGTTTCGTTCTCTAACCTTATCAGCCTACTAATTAACGGAGTATCGTATTTTTTGTTTGCCACGTTGTTTTGGTTTTTCGTTTATTATAATTTTAATGGTACACTACAAACACCATCACTATCACAGACAATACATGTAAACAAAATGTTTTTGAGCACAGTCAATCATTCATCATCATCAACTTGCATGTACATATGTTACATATAATTATAATTTCTATTATCAGTATTATTGGTACTAAACAAATGAATGAATGAATGAATAAAATAGTAAATATTTATTAATTTATTATTTCCAGAACAGGAATTATATTCGAGCATTACACAAAAGCATAATAAATATATTACGTGTCAAAGTACGTGTTCGCGTAAAATATGTAATTATCATAGAAAAGACTTGAATCAAACAGAAAAAAAAAAACAGAAAAAAAAGTGGTGAGATTTGGCGAAAAGCAATGAATCAGCCAACTGCATATATCTTATGTTTCGACATACACGGAGCAAAAATAGATTTGCGACGGCATATAGCGTCGATTGTTTCAGTTATGTTTATTGAATATGATTTTGTTTTTTGAGAGCTTGAGTGTTGGGTGATAATGAAGAAAAATGTATGGATATGAGAAGGGGCTGACGTAAATGTATGTATATATATGTGCATTTTCGCTTTTGTTTGATTTTATATACAAAGTAGATAGTAAAATGAATGAATAAATGAGTAACCTATATATTTAAATAATCATTCTACGTATAGAAAATATAATAATGTAAGATATTATAACTAATTAACATCATGTGTTATAGTTATATAGTGTGATATATACATATAAAACTATATTTAGTGTAAAATATTTTTATTTTGTTGCTATAAAATGATTTTGCAACTGCGTTTTATGTTTTTCTTGTTTTATTTAAATTTAATAAGTAGGGTGTGGTGGTGGTGGTGGTGGTGGTGGTGGTAGTAGTAGTAATAATAATAGTAAGTAATAGTAAAAAAGAGGATTGATGCTCTTATAATAAATTGTTTCTGTATGAGATAGAGAGAGAGAGAATGTATTTATGATATATTATATAAAACTGATTATAATTATTTTTGATGTGATGATGATGAATATTAATATTAGGACCAACAAGTAATTTCGTAATATGTAAAGGGAAAAGAGAGGAATGGTGATCATCATATTTGTATTAGTTATCTCAATAAAAAACTAATTGATTAATCAATTTAGAAATATATTGTCCGTGTTATTTTTGTCGACGATAAACATCGTTCGTATTCACAACACCACATCATAAACCCTATATGTATGATAAAACCCGCCACTTGTGCAACATAAATATTTTTTTCCATTCAAGTAATATTCCAAAAGTAAAATTCTCCCCACATCTTTTTTCTCATTTCCTCACGTTTCCTTTTTCTCCTCCCGCCCCCTGCATTAGATCCCTTTGTTTCCGTAACTTCAAAATACTTGGCCATTGAATACCATATTCGAGCACCAATGAACAATATCACGAACGCCTGTGGCAATATGAAAAGCCTTATCGACAAATCCATCATTCTCCTCATCTTGCTCGTTACCATTTCCTCGTATTTTTTCTGATCGAGGTGAAGAATCCGATTTTGAACGAGGTAATGATGATGGTGAGGTTGAATTTGGCGAAGACCCATATAATGAACCTGAAGGGTCAAAATGATCAAACATATCCGTCGTGAATACTCCCATGTCAAATAATCCATCATCTAAATCGTCACCGTCATCCCATGAAACATAATTGTTATATTGATAATCATTGAAATTGGTATTTGTTGTTGATGTTGCTGAATTTGATATTGTGGTTGTTGCTGCTGCTGCTGATTCTGCCGTGCTAGGTATTGACCTCGTCGATGGGGATGAATTATTTGATTTGTTTGTTGTTGTTGACCCATTTCGCGTTGAGTTTGTTATCTTGCTATTATTACTATAATTGTTCGTATAATCATTAATCATTTGATCCGATTTCAATGGTATTGGGTCAAGTTTATGTATTGTGAAGCATTCTTTTTTCCCCTTTTTTTTACGTGAATTTTTCATCAATATTGCGCCATCATCACTACTGTTATCGCCACTTTCATCCTCATGTGAATTTTTCCCAAGATTATCATCGTCTTCCTCTTCCGCCGAATCAACAGCAATACATTGCTCCACTTGATCATTAAATCGAATATGATGTTCCGTGTTTCGTTCCTGTTGATGACGACGCATTAATGTGACCAGCGGCGATGTTTCTGATATTGAGGTGGATAGCGTCGTTTTTGAATCTTCCGTTACAACAACTTCTATTTCAGTTATCGTTCCTATTCCTGTTCCAGCTCGAGATTTTTTCTTTTTGTAGAGTGCCGAGTCCGAGTGACTCGGCACTAAACTTGGGTATCGTCGATCACTGGTATTGCTTAGTAGTATCTCTGATAAAGATTTTTTCTTCAGACAAGATTTTTGACAAGTGCTAGATGCGTGATGATGCATTAGGCCAAGCTTGTCTTGGATGGTAGGTGATTTGGATTTCAGAGATTCTTCATGTTTGCGTGAATTAAATGCCCTGTGCAATGGACCATATAACCATGTTACATCGCTATCTTTCATCCTATAATTTATTAGGAAATAAAAAAGGATCAAGGAAATGAGAAACAAATTCATAATTCAAAGATCAGATCAATTAGAGATAGAAATCACGTACCAATTGAGCCTTTCAGGATTCACAGTTTTCAGGTGATACTTTTGTTTAGCCCAAGTTCGCCAGGAGGCATTCTCCAACCTTACGCCATTAACGATTTCTTTTTTCTGCTTCGACATCACTTTCCACGATGTCCAAATATCGTCCTCCTCTTTCCAATCGTGCGATAAGTAGTCGACACAAATCTCGGGAGGACGTTGAATTCCAGGAATTACTCCCGACAAATTATCATCGGGGATCAAGACATATGGCGGCTGCATGGAACAATGTCGAGTGTGCGTGTGTTTATTGTTATAAGTAGTCGAGGTCGAGGTGGGATGGCTGTCCTCCTTGTCACTATTATTATTATTATTATTATTATTATTAATATTATCAGAGTCGATGTTATTAATGGACTGCTGCTGTTTTATCTTTTTGGAGGTGATGGGAACGGTGGTGGCCTCAGCCACGCCTAACTTCGTAATTACTGACGGCAGTTTGACTATGTTTTAAGTTTGGTTGCTGGCTATCGCGTGGGATACCAACAACACACACAAAGATGAGGTATTTGGAAATTTAGAGAAGGTTGACTAACAGGTAGGTAGGTAGGTAGGTAGTAGTTATGTGTTAAGAAAGGTAGGGATGACCGTGCGAGGAATAAAAAAAATTGGCAAGGTACAATAAATCAACAGATAGTAAGAGTTTTTTGGGAAACTTGTCTCGGTATATTTATAACGAAAAATTGTGAGTTTATCTTTACAATAATAAATATTGTGTTGTTTGTTTTGTCTTTTGATTTAAATATATAATTGTCCGTTCTTCTAACAGGTAATATATATATATAAAAAACAAAATTGTTGGGTATTTTATATTTTTGAATGACTATTTATTATATTTAGAATATATGTATGTATATTTATATTCTAAACGCTAATGGAGATGATGTGATGACCGATGGTGATTATGATGCTGGAAGAAAGACTGCGAAGTTTATATATGAAATAAAATAAAAAATAAATTAAAATAAGCGTATAAAAAAAATATCCGGTGAGAAAAATAAGACTATTTATTTTACTTATTTGTTTAATTGTCTATTAGATTAATAATTCGAGTCAATTGCTTCGGATGATTGATTCACACCATACTTCAAACTATGAACTGTATGGTTTAGACTTGGTGGGGGTTATTTTAAAATAATGGATGAATAAAAAAAATTTTTTTATACTGCGTGTGTAATAAGAAAAAATGCATTGGTGCGTACATATATAATTACTATGGCCGATGATGAATTTTCGAATAATTATTACGATTATTATCATTATTATTATTATATTATGATGATGATTGATTAGCAGATAGGTAATTCACGCTAGCTTACGAAACCAATTTTTATAACAATAATATTAAGTGATAGATATTAGAATGATAAACTGATATAGTTGATAGAGCGTGGACCGTACTACGCACATACCTGCACATAATAAAAGACAGTAACATATTAAAAAAGGATAAAACAGACAGTGACAACATCATGAAATTTACCATCATTCTTTCTCTCTTTCGACATCCTTATCGAACACTATCGCTATGAATGATATAATCAATATATTTCTCATGATTCTTCCGGAGTAATATATCCTCTACTTAATGGGAAGGGAATAATAGGTTTTTATTATTGTTTGTTATCATTATAGGTTTGGGAAAATACACGTATAATAATTCTATAAAATTAATGATCAACACTCGTAAAATTCGCAGCAGTGGTGATAATATGTAACAATAATGGGTGATTGTGAAATTCATAGAACGGGTATTTTCGGGTTAGGTATGCGTTTTGGATATAAATCTATTCAAATCACCGATTCTTGATTTACTTCCGGTTTCTAACGATTAAGTAGCATTATTTGAGGCAATCAAATACGATATCCGAAAGGGTTACTTTCTTTACATAGAGAGCGTGTGTGTTTATTGATCAAAAGATAGAGGAAGAAGTGCAAGCAAGGACCGGAAATGTAATGGAATTTAGTAAATTGAATGGGATTGACCGTTTCACTATTAATATATACATTCTTTTGTAGCGATGAACTTTAATTTTATTATCATCCCTTTCTTCGACATTACCATACACGAAAGGAAAATGTGTTCGGGATTTTAAATATCTCATTGAATGATAAAGACACCGAAAACATTCTAATCTTGCTTATGTGTCCCAATTAAATGTCGAATTTGTATGCACGTATGCATGTACAGTAAATTTCACATTTAAGATAGAACGAAACAAGAATTACAAAAACAAGTTAGTCAGACTGCTCGCGACCTTTTTACAAAATTTTTGATAGCAAACGCCGATTATAATGGCGCACAATAACATTTTAACATTTTAAAAAAAAATCGCCACTGGCGCATTGGTAGCAACTAAATGTTTACTGCATACTTATTAACGCTTTGTCCTCTCACTGTCGCAATATGATATAAGTATGCTGTGTTACGTTATTCTCGTTTTATGTTTTGCTTATCTTGGTGTTTGTAAATTCTATGTGCCATTGAAAAATACCCGCGCACCGCAGTAGATTAAATGAATTCAATTGAGTTGATGTCAAAAATTAGGAGCGCAGGAAAGAAAGAGTGAGCTCAAATAAAAATTATCGCGATATTATATAATACTGACAGAAACATTGTGCAATAAAAAGAGGCGTGTACAATTCTTTTTTCTAAAACATTGCTTTTTTCGAGATAACAAATCCCGATAAGCTGATTATGTTGATAACGAGAAAGGATAACAATAACATTGTGTAAGAAAAAAGAAAATCTCACGCATTTCAAAGTTCAACCGTATCTTTCCATCTCTTTATCCGCATTATCGTTATTGTTGTTATCGTTTATTATTATTATTATTATTATTATTATTATTATAACGATAAGGTGAATACCACCAGTTGTGCTGAGTAAAAACGCATTAGATGTGTAAAAGTTGAAAATTTTAATTTTACGCGCAAGAGATATGCGAGATAGAAGTAAATAGAGATAAATAAAATAACAAGAAGGAAAAAAAAGGGCAGTTTATCGATGTTAATTTTTTGTAATACGCTGTAACAGCAACATTGTTTTATGATTTTCTCACACCACACAAAATAATGAAGCAATTTATGCAAATTTTATTTCCAAAAGCGAAAAAGTTACAGCTATAGCTGGTTGTTTGTTTTCAATGCGATACACGCAATCTCAATAATATGCGTGTGTGTATGCTTTGGCTATGTCAAAATTACTTACTACTACGTAATAATATTAACGCCAATTTAAGGAAATTTTCCCCCTCCCTTTTCCACTTCCTCTTTCGCACTTTCCGCACGCTAATTTATTGATCTTCAGCCCTATTGATCGATTGGTTGAGTTTTCAATTGTCGTTGTAAAGCAGAAATCTCGTAATCTTTTTGTGTTGACGATAGTATGTATCGGATAATAACCCTTCAATACGCGCAGACCAAAGATAAAAAAACGTGGGAGTGTGAAAAAGAATTATTTGAATTTTAGTTAAAAAGTATAATCGAGCTCATAGGTCACTTTTTTTCCATTGGATCAAGATTAGAATCAAATTTGGGTGTGCGTTCGTTTACGATAAATTTTGATCCTAACTTAATTTTTCATAATAACATGAAGAGCAGTGGTCACAAGATACAGTAAGTGAGATAACGCACATACGTGTTTTTTTGTAACTGTCAAAAACTTATGCGCGCGCGTGCTAGTATAAATATTGGTTTTTTCGAATTTTTCTTCCATTGTTTTATGATGGTATACACCGTCGCAAATCGCTAATCCTTATAGTATGAAGTTGGATATTTATTGGATTTTTCCTTACGAATATTCTATCTTGCGCGGTACACGTTTTTTATTCCCCCACACTTAATTGAAATAGCCTTTTCCGTGTATGTTCCTTATTGTCGATAATTTTATGCAGTATACATTGTACTCTTATTAGAATACTAATTCAGATAATATAATCTAATTTCACGAGATTTTTGTCTATAAATATATACATTATCTTGAAGGACTGGGATCCCAAAACCCGTATTCTCTACTTTGATATTTCGATATTTCAAAGACTTCTGTGTCTCTAACAAACTGTTTGTGACTTTATTCAAAGTTAGATGTAGGTAATCGCCCCGATCCATTTATTCATTCCTATCCCACGAAAAACGATAACCAATTGGATCATTAATTTAGAGAACAATAACAACACCTACAAATGTAAAATTGTTGAAAAGAAAAATACGATTATTATTAACATTATTGTGGGCTTTATTTATGTTTTTGGTTAGATTTAATTTGACGAACTGATTCGATCCAATCATTTCTGCAGAATTATTAATAGACGATCCGACACGAAAAGTTAATAAGATTTAGAACACATGTGCAGATCATATTTGTGTAACTTAAAAGCAATTGGATAATTCCGACAAAGTATACATGTACAAACATATGAAGGTTTGACTCGGGATAAGCTTCGGAACTCTAACTGCGTCAAAAAAAATGATCCCTTTTATTTATGATATATAAAACACTTAAAAAGTGAATAATTGTTATCTTATTTGACTGATTATTCAAATAACAATTAACTAAATCAATCATCATCTCTCTTTTTGAACATACTAACAACTTCACCTAAAAGACCACCACCATGTCCGTGTTCACTTGATTCTTCCTCGTGTCCTTTTAAGAAACCTCGAACCCCTTTCTTGAAGTTATCTTCCCCAAATATACGATTATGTAATTCACCTGATAAATTTTCCATTAATCCATCCTCGAATTTCGCAAGAAAAGGTCCAAGGAATTCCTGGATTTTTGCGGGAAGATGTGCCAAAATTCGATCAAATATATCTCCATGTTCTGAGCCTCCTTCAGCACCTCGTCCGCCACCACCACCCCCACCCAATATTGCCAAAACACCTTGAAGGCCATCATGTATACCATCACCGTCTTTATCATTTGATGACAAGATACCTCCACCAAATTCTTTTAACATCAAGGCTTTGATTTTTTGTGGAAACGAATTACTAATTTTTTCACTAATGTCTTCGTTGACACGATGAATCGGTGGACGAATCAATTCTAAAATTTTATTAACGATCCCGACTTTTCCATCGACTAAGAAACTCAAATCTAAACTCTTGAAAAAATGATGTTTCTTCTCCTCTTTCTCTTTATGAGTGATTGCCCTCACAGCGACTTTGGATTCTTTGACGGCGGTATCTGTGATAAAATCGGTTGTGCCTTCTGTGGCTTTATCAACGTGATGCCGAGCAGCTTTACGAATTTCGTCCTTAAACTCTTGCGACATGTCTTTGACAACTGTGGTCATAGTTGTGAGTAATGTTTCCACAAAGTGGCCACTACCACCTCTTTCTTCACGTTTCTTTTCGAAATGATGGGTTAAGAATTTGATTACATGTTCGGGTAAGTGTTCGATAATTGAACCTTTTGTTGCCTCGAGATTTTTATCGACATGTCCACGAATGTTCTCACGATGCGTGTCAAGGTAGCGGTCAATCGCATTTTCAATAATTTCTAGCATTTTTTGTTTTCGAAGAGTTTAAAGATAAATCAAGTCAAAAATAAGCAACAATGGCGAGTTTCAAAAGCTGCAGAGAAACAAGCTATAGAACATTTTAGGTTTTCATCTTACTTTATACAAAAATTTCTTTGTTTTTGCCATATTTCCAAAAGAGGGAAACTACCCGACGATCGGTTTTCTAATTAGAAAAAGTTTTAAATTCTCATTATCGATGTCGACGTAACTTATCATGTACGAAGGAAACCAATTCGAGCTAGCTGTGAATATTATATATTACATTATCCATAGAGGGATAAGCGGGGCACTCTTTACCTGATTGGGACTTGAAATAAGAATAAATATTTGCATCTTTTTTCAGCCAATTAAATTCGAATAAAATACATCGTTTTTGATGTACATGTTATCATTTTTCCCGGTGGACTTGCATGTATGACACATTCAATTGGATGTCGACCATAAAAATGATGCAGAAAAAAGGAAAAAGACATAGTATTTATAAATAGTATTTATAAATAATCCGGAATTTTTGGCGGTCTTGCATCATATTTGGATTTCTTATATAATAAAAGTTTAAATACACGCATGTGACTTGCTTTTTACCATTGCGATTTAAAAAGTAAATTTCAATTTATATACAGTAAAGTTTAAATTTCAGATTTTTGTAGAGGCGAATAATTCTTTTGCTAAGATTCTAAAAATGAAAATTCTTCGATCATGAACATTGATAAAAATTATGATCAATTAAAGTGAGCCCGTGACGAGGAACGATTGGCAATCCACCTTTCTCCCTAATATTATTCTTGAATTTTAGTACATTATCGAATCAAGACGAACTCCTGCTGAAATTTTGATGAGTTTAATTTCTTTAATTGCGTCAATCCTGACATCATTTCATTCAACAATAAAAAAAATAGCAAATTGTTTATTTTCTCCGAATTATCGCAAGTCCCTTATTCATTTTCTCCCCCCCAAAATGATCACAAACACCACCACACGCATACACACTCACGTATACATGTTCATTGTGTGATGAAACCCGTTTTTTTAGTTCCTGTCTAATCCATAAAAAGTAATCAAAAAGTGTGGGGTAAAGTATTATGCTTATTTGTTTTATAATAATCATCAACACGATCTACTTGTTACACTGCAACAACAATCTCTCGTATCGTATGCAGAGTTTCTGTGTATTGTTTGTACCGTTGGTTGTAAAGGACGAACTCGGGGAAAATACTAATTCATATTCATTTTCTTTATATGTTTAATTAGGCTGAAAAGAAGTAAGGTGTGAATGAAACTCTGAGAGGGAAAAAAAGAAGCAAATAAAGGGAAATACGTTATATCAAATTCTATAACGACTTAGTTCTATACCTCTGCATCATCTTTGATTTACTCCCGAGAATTAGGATTTACCGTTCCACCCGTTCAAAAAAGTTTTAAATAGTGTGGCGCCTAATAAAATGATAACTTGCATACACATGCAGTCCTTACAATGTACATATTTGCACACCTACATTGTGTTATTGAATTGAAAACAGGAAAGGCTAAAGCGTAATTCAATACGCGATATCCTCGGCGTCGTGTCTTTATAGACACAAGGTAACCCAATAACAATACAATGTTCATGGATAAAGCAGGATTTCCTTTTTTATTGAAGATAACAAAACCGGTGAGCTTTTCTGTTTTTATTTGTGTGTGCGAAATTTTTTGCTTTTTGTCTTTGCCTCCCCCTTGTCCCGTTAGGATTTTAATCCGCTTGTGTGTGAGAAAAAAACGGGCTCGTTTATTTTTTGGTTATGCTTGTGATCTGAGCGAACATTTGTTTTTTTCTCAGGATTTTTATTTAGGTCGGGATAATTCAAATTATTACCTTTGTTATTTCATACAAGATTGAAGTACACACTCTCATTATCCGTAAAAGACATAAACACGCGCCTTTTTTATCCATAAAAGACTAGATAAAGAAAAAAACACGCGCCTCTTTTTTATCTAGGTAGACGAAGCACGCGTCTTTGATATAACTTAACCTATTTTCCCGTGTCAAACCTCCGTCCGTCCGTCGGCCGATGTAGCGTTTTTAAACACGTGGCCGTTCTATAAGATAAGGAATATCGATAATACCAACTAAACTACTTTTTAGAAAGTTAAATACCCGAGGATTCGACTAAGTTTTATAAATTGCATATCAATAAATCTAAAAATTAATGTAGCAGTCATGAAATGTCGACACTGTTAATTTTTGTAAAAGGAAAAATATTTAAAAGATAGATATCTTTCCAAATTGACAATTTATTTAATTTTGGCCAAAATTAATACGTGAAATAAATCTACAGTCTTACATGTTAAAAAAAATTAGCTAATTTCATTGTTTTTTTGGACAAATCCAATAGTAATGGTAATAGGTTGAAACTAGAGCTTTGAGCTCAAACCAAAAAAAAAAAAAAAAAAGGGAATTCAGGAAAAGACCGATTTTGAAAATTAATAGTAATGATAAATGGTCGATGAATTGACTAGTTTACCTTTCAAAATCTTTTCGAAAAACTGAACCAAGCTCTTTAAGGATATCCGAGGTCTGAGTTGCTCGGCCAAATTTTTCAAAAGCAACTCGCGAACTTTCACGCACAATACTGCAACCCGCGAAGCTAGCTAGTATCGGTATCTCGGATGCAGTAATTGATTGATCATGTCTAGTTAAAAAGGAAAGAAAAATTTAAGATTTTCTTATTTTGACGGTTGAGAAAGTCTATATTTACTTGAACGTACTCCCATAATCCTGCTTGATAAGCTTTTCCCCAAGACAAGAATGTGGAAATGATACCAGATAAAAGATCTCCTTGTCCCCCGCATCTTTTTAAGCCGCCAGAGGCTTCACAATGAAGTACTGAAAGAGAATAATAGTTTTTATATCCAAAGCACATATATATATATCTCTCTCTCACTCGCTATATCTCTCTGAATTAAGATACAAAGAAATCCCATACTTTGCTCTCCATCTGAAATCACATCAACTTTTCCCTTTTGAACAATGGTCACACCACCTAAAGCTTGACTCAATCTTTGTGCAGTTTCACCTTTTTGACTTTCATCAAATCCTACATTCTAATTAGAAATTTTTAGTTGATGCAACAATTAAAAAATAAATGACATCAAATTCTTCTTAACATTACCAATGCCTCACAAAGCCGCTTAAACTCGTTAACATTCGGTGTCAATACTGCTTTTTTATAATTTTGGATAACGTCAGGATGGTTTTGGACGAGGAATAAAGCATCCTTTTTCGTTTAGGTTGTTTGAATTTAAATCAAATTTAAATATGAACAATTTTATTCAAAAATCTTCATCAAATTTCACATACCGCGTCAAGAACTATTGATAAATCTTTTTCTTTGGCTTTTGTGATAATTCCTCGCGCGCATTCTTGCATAAGATTATCTCGCGATAGGCCGGGACCAACAACTATTACATGCATCCGTGGAAAAAGGTCTGCCACCTTTGTCACGATTTGTTGTGGTGTTTGAGAGGAATCTTTCCTTTTAAATGTGAATCGATTTTTTTAATTTGAAGTTTCGGGCTTAAAAATTTTAATTCCTTCGATCTTAAATGGTTAATTAAATTCTATTTTTATATATGTAATTTTTGCTTACTAACTCGGATGTGCGCATATATGGATATACCATCAAATCTAGTTTATTAATTTATTTAAAATTAGATCATGATATAATTTAATTACATAAAACTAGAGATTTCATATCACCTGGCATATAACTCTAAAGTCACGACTCGTAAGCATATAAAGAATAATGGCTTTATCGTAATATAAAAAATCTGATGGACAAATTCGTTGCATACCTTAATGGGCACAGCTGCTCCAGGCACACATACGACACTACTCAAATCGGCACCCTACCAATTAGACATTCTAGCTTTTCAAATTCGCAAAATCAACTGGATCTGATTTGATTTGAATCACTTACAATCTTCAAGGCGGACATTGCACTAAAGTAAGGTGCACCAGTATATCTAGCGAAGACATTTAAATATTTATCTAGCTAATTCTTTGGTGAAAACACATTTTTACGTAAAAAATATAAAAATTTACTCCTCTGAGCCACCAATCACGCAGATCCTACCTAATAAAATGGTCATGATTTTAAATTTTAAACGTCGTGGCTTAATACCCGTTATTTCACACTCTAGTTTACCTGCTTGACCTTTATGAAATTCAGGCGAAAGCGGCGGAATTAACTGTTTCACTTTATTTAGGATTGCATTAAAGTTTTTAGTAGTCATTGTTGGGAAATTTCAAAAATTCACCCAGATCGACATAATGCACTTGCCATGCGCTGATATCATGTGCAAAAAAAATTCGGATTTTTTATCTTGCATAAAGCACGAGATATTCTAGAACTTTCCAATTTTTTGCCGGGGTTTAGAAAATTTTCGCATATAATTGATTGACGCGAGCGTAAAGTGAGGGAGGAGCAATCAATTTGACTTGAAACATAGTTTTTTTTTGCGGATTATTGAGAAACGGGAACCTCACTGCTTATTTCCAAAGATAGCAAGGTATGCCATAGATCTTATTCATTTTATTCATATTTGACGCATATTTGAATCTTGATTAATTGGGAGCCAGCATCCGAACTCGGGTACTCTCCTCGCTGCCCAACATGAAAGCAGATAATGCGAGATTTGACAACGGTCTCGAGTGTAACCTCCACCATAAAAGCAGAACATTAAAGAAGATAGCGATAAAAATTATAATAACCATCATGATGTTGAAACAAAAAATCTAGAGCCACTATCATCATCACCCCGTCTACATTGCACCCCTTTTTACTTTTTTTTTAAT